TAATCTTCCATAAAATATGCGCATGCGGGAAGCTCTAATTTGAATTTGAAATTTGTTTTATTATATATCGATTTCATATTTTGTAACACTTCAATGAATTTTTGATTAAAAAATCTAATGTGTACATCACATGACTTCCTTGTACGGAATATTAAATTATACGCATTTTTTCTTGCATTTCATTTAAACTTATTGGATTGAATTAAATCTACTTCGTCGACAGCGCATAAACCACAACAGAGTAAATGCACTATTGCATTTCATTTAAACTTATTGGATTGAATTAAATCTACTTCGTCGACAGCGCGTAAACCACGATAGAATAAATGCACTCTTTAAAATTCACTATATTTGTTTACCATAGCGACACTCTGGCTAGGTTCACTTAACAATTTTATATTTCGTTCATATTATAACTCAGAATGCACAAAATTTATATCATTTAAAGAATTATCTAATCGTTGCCCCATGTTCTATTCAAATACTATAATAAAGCTAGAACGATGTATAAAAGAAATTAAGCAAATAAAACAAAAAAGAAACAAATTTTCACAGACGATCGAGTATTTCTCATTCAATTAATTCAGATCTCACTTCGCGACAAGGCAAAAATACATAAGAACTCAAAATATCTGTATTAAAAATTACGAAGTAAATCTTAAACACTTATTTCCTCGAAAAAATTCCGGAAAGGATTAAGCATGATTTAATTCGCAATAATAAATGAAGGCGTTATCTTTGTTGTTGCGAAGCTAAGTTTCTCTAGATTGGCAACAAATCCACTATTCTGCTGTTTTAAAAATGTAAACAAGCAGTGGCCGCCATGAAAAAAATTATTAGGGTTAGTAACTTTAAAATTAAACAACTTTAAAATTGTTGATAATTCTAAAAATAATGCATACAGATTTACTAAAGGCACGAAAACCTTAACCGGAAGATAAGAACAAATAATTCAATCATTTTTAAAGCAACAAATGTACAAACAAACATCTAAGAAAGAGTAAAGAAACTGAGATCACTGAGCCGGGTAACAGAGTGGATATATATATAAATATATTTAAACAAATTTAAATTCTTAACAAATACGTATAAAAGTAAAAAGGTAAAAAAGCAAATTTAAATTCTAAAAAAAGGAAAAAAGCCAAAATAATTTAAATATTTTAAAATATGCAACATGTAAAAGATTTAATTCTCGAACTAATCTACAATATCATTTAAATTCAGAAGCATAAGCAAATCAAGTGCAAATCTATCCATGAAAATAAATCTACTAATTTAATAAATTAAAATTAAATTAAACATTTTTTTTAAAAAATGCATTATGTGAATGATCGTAGAGTAGGCAGCAGACAGACTTATCAAGGGGAAGAAGTTGCCTCCAAACCTAACTCTCCAATCATTCAATTCGTGTTTCGTCATTCATGCATTCTTAATTCTTGACTATGCTTGCTTGTTTCTCAAAAGACTTGATTAGTGTTTTCCTTTTTGAACTTTAATTCTTAAATGTTAATACTTAAATGTTGATTTCTGGGGGTGCCACTTTATTGGAATTACTTTTGGTTTTGACTTTTACCCTTGCCTGCATGAATGACGAAACACGAATTGAATGATTGGAGAGTTAGGTTTGGAGGCAACTTCCCCTTGATAAACCTACTCTACTCTACGATCTGCCTACTCTACGATCATTCACATATGCATTTTTTAAAAAAATTGTTTAATTTAATTTTAATTTATTAAATTAGTAGATTTATTTTCATGGATAGATTTTGCACTTGATTTGCTTATGCTTCTGAATTTAAATGATATTGTAGATTAGTTCGAGAATTAAATCTTTTTAATGTTTGCATATTTTTAAATTATGTTAAATTATTTTGGCTTTTTTCCTTTTTTTAGAATTTAAATTTGCTTTTTTACCTTTTTACTTTTATACGTATTTGTTAAGAATTTAAATTTGTTTAAATTTAAATTTCATTCCTTGCAGCAATGGCGCAAAGAATATTTAATTAAATATGTATTTAAATTTAATTTTTTTAATTACTCAATTTATTCTCATATAAATATATTTATATAAATACGTTTGGCGCGGCCGATTGCAACCAAAATACGAGGTGCACATCCACATGTTATAGTAGTCCTATATACAAAATTTCAACGTTCTTGAGGCTACTCGTTTTTGAGTTATGCGAGATACGTACGTACATACGTTCGTGCATACGCCACGAAAAATTCTCTTCAGAATTAAATTTAAAGCAGTTTTATAATTTTTTTGGAAGAAAAGTTGTGTTGTGTATTTAATTATGGCAAAGCACACTAGGGCTAACTGCCTAAGAGGAGGGATGCCTTTCGTGGAGGACTTTCTAAGGGAAACTGGATCGTATACACGTTACACATGGGGAAAACCACGAAAACACCCATGCAGCCAGCCCGTTCGCGGGATTCGAACCTCGGACCGAACTACCAGTGTTCAGCGACTTTACCGCTCGGCCGCTGGTGGGCCTTTTGGAAGAAAAGAGTCTTTAATTCTGTCCTTACGTACAGATGTCACGCAAACACATCGTTAAATTGCATTCGATAGCGTTCAAGTTGGACATTTTCGTTGAAATACGCTGCCTGAAACTTTTCGCGATTACATTACTTCCTTTTTACTTCGTACAAGGAAGTAAAAACTATTCGATTTCAAAGCGAGAAATGGCAAAACTGTACGGAAAAAAAAGCATTTTTTATCTCCAGCACGCGAGACTCTGTATCGGAAATTATAAGGATATGCTCATTTTAAAATTAATTTGCAATATTGCTGTTGAATTTTATAGTTTGAGTACGTAGAACATGATATTTAATAAATAAAGGTTACACACAAAACGTTAAAAAATCGCACCCTTGGACATAATTTAAAATCTAAATAAAACCTTTCAGATTTTTTCTTTCATATTGCTGTTAATTTAATTTACGAAAAATAAATTCTATGTAAAATAGTTATGGGGCCGTATGTGGTCTGTGATTCGTTACTCTGAGACTAGTGCTTTACAATATTCGTAATTGTAGTCGGCTTTAAAGCTGTCGTTGACTTCGCGCCTGCGGTTAATAAAACAAGAAAACTTGGAGCTCCTAATGCGTATTACGTTTCAGTTCGTTACGATAGATAATGAATTAACTCTGTACCAGAACGTCAGGGGAATAAAAAAGAAAATAAAAAGTCAAACGGAAGTAGCTTCGTCAATTCGACTTTCGTCAAACGAAACTAGCGAAAAGAACATCCCTTTCACGACTTCACTGTGTTAGTGCTCTTTGTTCCTTGTTACATCTTGATAAAACACCATATTTGGTTGAAGTAGTGTTTTGTAATTGTGGTCCGCAGACCCCTGGGGTTCCAGGGTTTAATAGCGAGAGAATTTTTAAATTAAAAAGGTTATGCAGGCTAATGATTGAGGTTTCGGCAGAACGCGCATCACGTAAAATTAATTCTAAGCTCATAAAAATTTTAAGAATCGTTATTTTAAATATTACCGAAATTTACGTGTTACTTTGACTGCGCAAAGGAAAAGAGCTAACTAAAAATTTAATTCAAATTAAAAGTCTTAAAATAAAAGCAAAATTGCAATTAATTTATTTTTTAACTCTCGTTTTAGTAAATGAATTTAGTGTTTAAGCAAATACTCTGAAAATAATGAATATTTGTGCAGAATATATCGTAACAGTGGTCTCAAAAACTCAAATAGACCGCGGACCGCATGTGCGATTTTTAAGCATCTAAACGAATATATAAACAATACACAAGACGTAATTTTAATTGAATACATTGACATGCATAAACAACAATAATATCGCAAAGGGAAAAAATTCAAATTTATATTTATTTTTCGTTTAACATTTGAAATATGGTACCTGCAAGACACATTTGTTGCTTACACTTTGTAATTCCAATATATTGATAGCTAAATACTACATTTTCAGACTGCCATTTATTTAAAATAGCTCTAACCATTTTAAATTAATCATTAAATAACTTATTTTAATTTAAACTTTAATTAAAGCTAAGAATTATAAAAACTTTCTTAGCTTTTCGAAAAAAAGTTTTTAAGTAGGAAAGAACTTTAGAAGAAATAATGACAACGTAGTCTCTTTCTCTCATTAAATTTTTCTTCAATTCTTAAATAACAATACTTATGTTTGTATGCAAATAATTACAAACTTCTTTTATTCCTTACAACAGCGTGACGCTTGATGACGTTTTAATTTTGGTGAAATGTATAACCTTGGAGAGAAATTATTATAAATTAAATCTTTATCACGGAATGTAGATGCTTATCGATCAATAGGGGTTTTTCTTATTAAATCTTCAACTGTGAAAAAATTCTGTTCACATAGAAATGTATTCCCGATTAATTCGATTATTCTTAGTGTAAAAATTCGAAACTGATTTGTTTTCTGACAAGTACGATAATAATGGCATAAGGTATCTCTCCCGCTTTCCTAGCGTGCCTTCGTGGTGCAGTGGTTCTGCACGCTGGGCCGATATTCCAGAGGTCCGTGGTTCGATTCCCGGCGAAGGCGGTTGCTAATTTTTCATCTTTCCGGCTTTTCCAATTAACCTAATGTCTCTACAATGGAATCTCTATTTTTAGCTCCATAGATTTTCTGATGCGTTATTCACGGTAGTTTTTAAAGGGAGTGAAAGTAATGTAAATTCGGACATCAGATATTTTAGAAATCTTGTAATCTTTATAACACTTGCAACAAATTTCTAACTGAAATATCTTTGCGAGCCGCACAAAATTGTTTCAGAGGCTGTCAGTTTGAGACACTATATTGTATATATGAATTTAGACATGTTGTTATGGTTGAAGGATGGAACATAAACAGCATCCGTGTCTGTACTAATCTGAACAACATAGCGAGTAAAAATATTTTATCATATGTTATTTTATAGTATCATGAAACAATATTTAAGATAATACTGTATTTTTTAACAAAGAATCTGATTGCATTTTGCGTCTTTGCAGAGAGAATACTGAAATCTTCAACCGCCATTCCAAATGGGGAAGATACCTGCGACGACAAAAATTCGACATCTTCCATCAGCAATCGATGGAATGCTTTTCGCGATGCTTTTCGGAAGTCCAGCACACACCGCAATCCTGGCGAGCTGGTCAGCGAACTTCGAACCCCTTCACCCACTTTATACGCCGAGTTACGGAAGCACTTAAAGGACCCGGACTGGGCTTTGGCTTTCGTAAAAGAGAACGGAGTCGAAACTTTGTTAGACACGCTAAAATCTCTGCAAGGAAGAAACTCAGAAGAAGTGGAACTGAAATTACAGTGCGAACAGTGCTTACAGCTGGTCATGGATTCCAGAGTAGGTCTAGACTTTATTATGGAAAATGCTGATTATACTCAGAAATTAGCTACAGGTAAGTTATTAGAAAAAGACTTGAATATTTTTATGTAAGTTGATATATGAATTAAATATTAATAATGGAATCATATCTTAGTGCTGCGTGCGTACAGTTTCGTAATAGATTGAATGCACACAGAATTGATGATAGCTTAATAAATTTTATTTTACCAAACACTTCATTGTTATGGAACTCCCCCCCCCAATTAGTCACGCAACTCTTCAGAGTACCATCAATAATTGCACTTTAAACTACAAAGAACGCTAAACACAATGCAGTGCAGAGCGCATCTAAAGAGCAAAGCTAACTTGGAGATATTTCAGAACTTTGAACTCAGGTTGAACTAACAACTACTGAGAAACTGATTTTATCTCCGGTCTTATATATTTTTCACCCGGCCGATGATATATTTCTAGTACTTTTTGCTTCTTGAAATTACTGGAAGGGGTATGACAACCGAATACAGTTACAGTTACACAGAGCATCAATTGCAGTTATTTATTTACAATATCTATTGCAGTTATACAGGGACTGGACCAAAATGCCGCCAGCTGGTCGCGAAATTTGGCGACTTCTTTTCGAATTCGGTGGCAAAATCTGGTCGCCAAAGCCGTTGCCAGCTCGGCGATAGCCATTTACTCAATATTAATTGGACTTGGCGCTGTATTCTTATTTTTCCGACAGAGTATCATTTCTCAGTTTTTCATGTTACATTGTACAGAATAATACAACAATTTCACATATAATTTCACTCAAATTATCTATCTATTTACAGAATTCTTAATAATATTGAACAACAATATCGATATAAAAGCTATCGAGGAAAGTTTTAACCATTTGCAGTATTATAAGAAAGTATTAAAGTCATCGTTTATTTTTTATTAACTCTACAAGTTATGACAAGTTCAGAACAATTCACTTCCTTTCAGACGGTAAGCTGACTATTTCGCTTCCTGCTATAATCTGTTACTTTAGAATAGGCACTTCAGGGTCATTTTTCCAGACCTGCTTCGTAGCCAACGTAACAATTGCAGCAGATGCTGTAGTCCTCTAATTGTTTTCTTCCCACTTTGTTTCAACGCACGAATGCAGACTGATTTGGAATGTATTCTCAAATGAGTTGTAGAAAATAAGTGTTGTTTTATAATGACAACACGCGTTAAAATGCCAAATGAGAGGGCGACAGATCTGAAGGGCCTTGAAGTGCGTATTTTAAAGAAACGTGCTAAGCATGTATAGAGCCTTAGCTCTCAACAGTTTTTACTTCACGCACCCCTTTCACCACTGCTAAAAATTCATCCCAATTATTTTCAAATAAACTATATAAAAATACATATATACATTTATTCAGATTTAGATTATTTTCTGACCTGTTTTATAAATTAAATAACAAAAAGGTATAGAAAATGTTGGTAAATAATCAAAATATGAGTAAAAATAGTTTTTTTATTTCCATAAACTAGAACTAAATACTTAAAGATCTGACTGCATTCCCCCCTCCTAGGAAGAAATTCTCTTCTGGTTGAGAACCCGTGAGATAAAGGAATAAAAATGAATTGCAGAGTTTTAAGTATTACAAAATTTGTACCATAACAAAAGATAGAAAATAACCCCGAAAAAAACTAGGTTTGTAAATTCATTTTAAATCATTAAAATTTCTTTAGTCATCTAGTCGCTGCAAAGCTGTTGGCGGCACAAAAGCTTTAATATTCACAAATAAAAATGTCTCTGATTTTTAAATTACTTGTTTTTTATAAAGTTACTTTTCATCTTTTTCTCAAATATAGAAATATTTGATTTTAATTTTGGAACTGTTTATTATTGATTTCGGAACATTGAGCTGAATTGACTTTTGCCTTGCAACCCTAAGAAAGTGAATCGACCTTATTGAAATTGTTTCATTCTGTAGCATCATAAGATTTATGATGCAAATGAATGTTATGATATTAAATTATTAAACTATATTGATTGAGCTTTGCAAAGGTAAGCGGGTACAATTTAGCCACAGTTAACCTTCTGATTCAGTTTTTGTTATAAATAAATTCCTCCTTAAATCATAGAAGAAATATTATCTTTACTATAGTGGAAAAGAAAGCACTGGGGAAGATTTGGAACTTAAATCTTATAACTAGAATAAAACATATTATATACAGTGTTTTTTAACATTTAAAACATTGCATGTTGTAATATAAATAAGGAATTTGCTTTGAAAACTACATTATCGTGAACTTCAAGTATAAAAGAAGCTTATTAATCTTTAAATTTTCATAAATATTTAAAACTTAAAGAGAGATTTCGTAAGCAGTTTAGTTCTTTGCTTTTAATTTTTCGCTTGTATTGTCATTTTAATGTTTCGTTTATTCAACAAATTAACACGTACTTATTTTTTTTCCTTCTTGAATTAAATGCCTCATGCATTCAAATAGCAATCATATGCAATAAGCGACAGAAAAAGTAAGTCAGGCTTACGAATTTATCAATAACAATATTACTTTATATATGTATATTATACTAGTCAGCTCCCTTGCAGCATTTTCGGTGTCTTGGGCGATCAGAGCAGTTGCCCTCTATACAACTTAAACTGTAGAGACATTAGGTTATTTTGAAGCAGGAGATACGAAAAATGAGCAATGCTCTCGCCGGGACTCGAACCATGGACCTCTCGAATACGCGTCGAGCGTGCTGACCGTAACACCACAAAGGCGTGCTAAGAAGGCGGGAGAAATACCTTATAAAAACATATTAATATTTCAGTGCACATTGGTTTTAGTATAACTCCTGCTAAGTTGTTTGTGAGCTGAAATATTAGTTGACGCTGCCCAAAAAGCGACGCCCTAGGTGGCTTTTCATCCCACTTATGTTTGAAGTCGACCCTAATGCTAATCGTGTAGAATTTTGACCATAAAATTCTCTTAAAGTGTTGTAATTTTTGTAGAGACATTAGGATTTTTTTTGGTGGGGGGAAGCAGGAGAAGATAAAAAATTAGCTAAGGCACGCTAGGAAATCGGGAGAAATACCTTATATGTTTATGAAAACCTTAATGTTACTGTTTTACATTAGCTTTACAAGAATTGTGGAGAAATTTATAAAACATTGTGTAGTTGGATATTGCTTTCTGTTCAGACAACACAGTTTGTAATCGCACATGTTATGTTTTCTTTAGTCATTTTTAGTAGAAATTTGTTAGTATTTAATATTTTACAAGAATTGTTAATTTGGAATAGTTCACCACTTTTTTTTTATTTAAGGAAGAATATAAAATTTCTAGATACTACTTTATCAAAGTATTAATAAATTTATAAAGAATTTGTCTAAATGGAAAGCAAAAGTTTCTCCTGAATTTTTCAGTTAAAAGTTACATTTCGTCATAACGCTCGACGGTTCAACGCCGTAATAGATAATAACATAAAATTATTATTTATTATGACGTTGTACTGCCTTTGTAACTTATGCAAAACCTTTTTATTGTGGCTTCTTTCCGAAGTATGTATTGGAGGAAAAGATTTTCTGTCAAAAACGCTCATCAGTATTCCTTAAGAACACAGGTCGTTAATCTCATAGGGTCAAAGATGCAATCATTTTACCTTGCATCATCCAAATTTTAGGGCACTGATGTATCATTACTGCGTTATAAAACCACAATTTAAGAGGTGAAACGTTAAAGATGTTTCAATCAAAGATGATTGAGTAGAAAAACGAGTTTACAGGTGTTAAGCTACTGTAAACAAGTTAGAAGATAATATATTTAATAATTAGATTTGCGGATTCTTGGATCTTAGGTTAGGTATCGGTAGGAAAGACTAGGCCTTCCGTTAATTGACTTTTCTTTGTTATGTAATGCAGAACATTATCATATATCTGACAGGTAACCGTATGGTCGTAAATTATTCCGAAATTCATTATGTAAATTTACGCAAGTAAGGTTTCAAAGAGCAAAGAAGTTAGAAGTCCACTGTATGGAAACGGATGGTCGCATTTGTGTTCTCACGAGGTGAATGACAAAATCACAGTGGCATCTTTAGTATAATTGGAAGCGTCTCTTTCCCAGGTTTTATTACGATGCTGTGCGCGTAGAAAAAGCATTTATGGGGCTGTCAAAGATTTGATGCTTGCTTGATATTCGTGAAGAGCTTTGCAGATTAAGATGGTTTTGATATCATTGTATCCCCAAATTATCTATGTAAATCATATAAATTTACTGGATTTGGTATTTTTCTCGTGATTATAGATAACATACACTATTTTCTGTATGTAAGAAAGTCATTGAATCTTTATTTATTTATATAATGAATTTCTTCTTCTTGTCTTCCCCCCCCCTTCTGTTTTTGAGTTTCGGACAAAGTTGCTCAGAAGCTATAATCCAAATGCTAATAAATTTTTCTGTTTTATTTTTCGAGCTGTTTTCTATTGGACTTGTAAAAGAAAGAAAGCCTATTATATAATAAATAGAATAAAAATAATTATATTACTTTGATCTTATAATCCCTACACCGTCAGCCATAAAAAACATAGAGATAAATTAGACATTAAAATGCCTTGTAAAAGAACGTTAAAAAGATATTAAAACCAAGTATTATGATTTAACCCTTTACTATAATTTTCCCTTTCTATAGCCCTCACCGGGATGTAAATTAGATCGCATCTATCTTTTCAATAGTTCGACTTTACGTAAATTTGGAATACTACCTTTTTCTTATTCTTAATTTGTTTGTGATGAGAATTGAAAAATTACATTTTCTCTTATCGTAAAGAAATTTCTAGCTGCTAATTTTCAACAGAGTATGATTTTATGTAATTCTGGAAAACTATCATTTGTATTTAATTTTAAAAAAATTACTTATTTATTTTTTTATTCTGAAAGTCTACTGAGGAATAATACAAGATTTAAAGCTTTGTCTAGGACTGTGGAATATAAGTGCTTTGCATCTATGTCTTAACGTAACTTATACTGTCTGTTACTGGTTTGTAACTTATCAGCCATTGTGAGCAACTGAGAATGTCTTAGCTGCCTGAA